CTGAATGTTATCATAAGCATAAAAAGTCTCCCAAAAATACATCTCAGTTCCACAGATCTTATCACGTTCCTTATAATTCTAATAATGTAAAATGTAATTATTGTAAGAATATAGGTCACACGCTAGAACAATGCCGTAAGCGGCAGTATAACATGCAGCGTCGCGAAAACGCTAACCCAGCGCAACGTGACTATCATTCGCCGCGTGCAACTACCAGTAGTGACGCGAGGTTGCATATTACGCAAGAGTCCGGGTTCGATTCCCGCGACAATAATTTAAACTAAATAAGATTTCGGTGCCGTGTCTGCCGAAATCGAAATTTCTATTGAATGACACGAAAAATAATTCTATATCTACTAAATCCTGTAATCCTAAATCTTATACATCTCTGCAAGGACAGCCTCATAGTCTATCTACATCCCGAGACATGTGCTCGAGTGATGTCACATCTCAGCCTCAATCTCCTAAATCTTTTACTAATTCTAACAAGCTGAGTCCTACTATATCTTATAATCGTAAAAAGTTAACCAATAACGTAAATAACACTGATTCTTGTGATGATAATAACTCATTATCTATTTATGAAACTACTATAATTATTAAGAAAATATCATTGCCTCATATAATTTTAAATTCGAGTTACTCTACGGAACCCTTATCGTTTCTCGTAGATAAGTTTAATAAAGCAATCAAGTATAAATAAGACGCCTGATTTATCTCATAAAATTATCAAAATAAAAGGGATTAATAACACAGAATCTTGTTCTGTAACTCTAGGCACATTCGAAATGGATTTTATATTATTTGACAATATTTTGTCTTATCAATTACATCTCGTCAACGATGACGTCAACTTAGATTATGACGGCATCATAGGCAGTGATTTTCTAAGCTATCATAACGTTGCTATTAATTATAATTCTAAAATATTATATTTAGGCGGAGATATTCTAAGTTTAAACTTTGTTCAGCCTACATACATTATTCCCGCGCGCTCCGAAGCCGTAATCGAATGCGCGATATCTAATTACGAGCCCGAGTGTTATCAGAACAATGAAGCACTCGTATTAGATCAAACCTTAAGTGAAGGTGTTTACGTCGCGAACTGCATAGTCTCTATCAAGCCAAATAAAAGAATAAATGTTAATTCTATTTCTAATTATAAATCAGATAGAGTACAAAAAGTTTTAAATCTTATTCGCTGCTCTCATCTCAACAATGAGGAGAAAAAATCTCTTTTGGAATGTTGCTATCTTTCATATGGAAGGCGAGCCTCTATCTCATACAAATGCAATTCGACATTCAATTAATACAGGAGATGCGCCTCCTATTCATGTAAAATCATATCGCTTCCCTGAATGCCACAAAGATGAGGTCGACTCTCAAATTCGTAAGATGCTAAGTCAAAACATAATTCGACCCTCTATTTCACCTTGGAGTGCCCCTGTTTGGGTAGTCCCAAAAAAGATGGATGCATCTGGTAAGAAAAAGTGGCGAATCGTCATAGACTATCGTCGCTTAAATGATGTCACTGTTTCGGAGAGCTATCCGCTCCCTCTTATCACTGATATTCTGGACCAATTAGGTCATTCTAAGTATTTTACTACCCTAGACTTATCTAGCGGGTTTCACCAAATTGTAATGAGCCCTGAAGATGCGCCAAAAACTGGATTCACTGTAAACACAAATTCTAGCACTTCTGGTCACTACGAATTCACCAGAATGCCTTTTGGGTTAAAAAATGCCCCAACGACTTTTCAGAGACTCATGAATACGGCTCTTTCTGGTCTTCAAGGCCTCCACGCCTATGTGTATCTCGATGACTGTATTGTCTACTCCGAAAATTTGATGACTCATATCTCGAAGCTAAAACTTGTATTTGACAGACTTCGTAAATTCAACTTAAAACTACAACCAGACAAATGCGAATTTCTACGTCGAGAAGTCGCATATTTAGGACATATTATAACCGATAAAGGTGTCTCACCGAATCCCGAAAAGGTCAAGGCTGTTGCCGAATTTCCAAGTCCCAAAAATCAAAAACAAATAAAATCTTTCCTGGGTCTTGTCAAGTACTACCGACGCTTCATAGAGAACTTTTCCAAGGTTACTAAGCCTCTCACTTCCTTATTAAAAAAGGATACTCCTTTTAATTGGACCTCTGAACAAGAAACTGCTTTCAACATCCTTAAGGATAAACTCACTACTGCTCCTTTACTTCAATATCCTGATTTCTCCGCTCCGTTCATAGTTACGACGGATGCCTCTAATTATGCCGTAGGTGCAGTTCTTTCCCAAGGCGATATAGGTAAAGATAAACCTATAGCTTATGCGTCGAGAACGCTCAACAAAGCAGAAGGAAACTTCTCCACCACGGAGAAAGAACTTCTCGCTATTATTTTCGCCGTCAAAACATTTCGTCCTTATATCTATGGACGTAAGTTCAAGATCGTAACTGACCACAAACCCTTAGTATGGTTATTCAGTATTACAGATAAAACTGGCACAAGGTCAATGTCCAAAGGTAAATTTGAAATACCCATGGTACAAAATTACTATGGGGATAGAACGTAAAAAAAACGAGTTCCATACTTACTCAATAGTTTACCCGAGGACATAAGACGTGAGCCTAAACTTACTAAATTTAAAAGTTTATTGAAAAAACACTTGTTAAATACGCTGTAACTTATTACGTAAATTAATTGTATTAATATCACCTAATTTAATAATAATTTATTAATTTGCTATGTTTATATAAAGCGAGTTACCTGCAGTCAAACTGCGTAAGCAGTTTTGCGGGGCATGATTTAAATGAAAGTGTAACTTTTTATGAATAAATATATTACATACATACATAAGATCCTGGTAGTAGACTTATCAGGTGGCGCCTCAAGTTAGAGGAATATGATTATGAAATCGTTTATAAACAAGGACGTTTAAATTCAAATGCAGATGCGTTATCACGCTATCCCGTCAATGCCATTGATATAAAAAGTTTAAATAATGCAACATATGAGAAATATTTCAAAGATCAATTCATAAATAAATCTATTACATCTAATACTATAATCGGAGAATGCAGTCAAGCATTGCATTTGTCTAAGTCGAATTCAATCGCATGTCCAGTCTCTTTAGACTTTGATTACTCTATGCCCTATTGCGAGGAAATATTATCGCGGCTCGAGAATTCCGATGACTTGTTAAACTCCGAGCGCGAGCCGTTTACTATACGATCTGTAGTGGATAAAAATAGAACATATTATTTCTTATTTACAAAAGTACATCATTACGAAGAAACAAAATATAAAGATATTTACAATTTACTAATTAAACTTAGAGATAAAATCTTAGCCGAAAATTCTAATTGCAATGAGATTGCATTATCAGATTTTTCTGACCTTTCTCAAAGATAATATATACTAAAATATATAATATGATATCTTACATCTTTCATAATACTAATTTAAAAATTTATATTTATAAAAATCAATTGATATACCCGACTCCCGCTGAAGTCCCAAAAATATTAAAAGAAAATCATGATTCAACAATCGCGGGTCATCCAGGGTCAAAGCGCATGTATAATCGAATTAAGGCTGCTTACTATTGGAAAGGAATGCGCGCTGACATTGAACGTTTCGTAAAAAGTTGTAAGTTGTGTCAGATAAATAAACCTTTAAGAAAATCAAATAGAGCTCCTATGGAGATTACATCCACTTCTACCAAGCCCTTTGAGAGATTAGCTCTAGATATCGTTAGTCCATTGCCGGAAGCTGGATTTCAAAAGTTCAAATACATACTGACTCTTCAGGACGATCTAACTAAGTTCTCAAGTGCTTATCCTATGGTGTCCGCCACCAGTGAGGAGATAGCACGAAATCTTGTTCATTTTATGTCTCTTTTCGGCTTCCCTAAGACTATTTTAACAGATTTAGGTACGTGTTTCACATCTGAATTATTTGAACAATTAACAGAAATTCTTAAGATCAAATCTCTTTTTACTACTCCTTATCACCCCCAAACAAATGGTGCCCTCGAGAGGTCACATGCCACTATGAAAGAATATTTAAAATCATTCGTAAACGATAATCAGAACGATTGGCATTGTTATTTATTTACTGCAATTTTAGCCTATAATACTACTCCGCATTGTACTACTAATTTTACTCCTTATGAGTTATTATATGGTTATAAACCTTCTTTTCCTAGTTCCTTATACGAGACAAATAACAATACATATAATGAATATATTCGCGCCTTGCAATATAGGATGCGATTTAGCCGAGAGAAAGCTATACAGAATATTGTAAATAGTAAAATAAAATCTAAGCAATATTATGATTCGAACTCGCGTGACGTCACTTATAAGACAGGTGACATGGTTTATTTAAAATGTCACCATCGGCTAAAGAAAGCCTTATCGCCCATTTGGAAAGGGCCTTATAAAATCGTTAAAACAAATGGTAAACATAACGTCACCTTATCTATAAATAGAAAACATGTAAAGTATCATACAAACGAGATAAAGCCAGCTCAATTATAATTACGTACTTATTATATTTTTATTCTATTTCTTTTCAGAACGTTATGGCACCTGAGCTATGCCACATCCTTCATCACGTCCATATCTCATAGTCCAGGGATTTATTATGATCCCATAACAAACGTATATTTTTATAATGACTATTGGAAAATTGTTTCTTTTCTCGATGTAGTATCTGTAGAGCCTCATCTCGACAATATTGAAAATTCTCTAAGAAAAATTCTAGATATCTGCATCCAGTCGAGATGGACAGAATATATACAATGTAAAGATGTTATCAGCCCAATCGAAGTATTGTTACAATCTAACTATTTAAAATTAAATTCCTTATCTTATATTATTGGTACAGACTCACCAACCGCTCTAAGAGGTCTCTAGAGTTCGGTGGAGAAATTTTAAAATTCTTTTGACGACCTCCGTGGCCGAGTGGTTTGTACGCCGGGTTTCATGGTGTCGCCGACTCGAGGGGTCTCGGGTTCGAGTCCCGGTGGGGGCAGATGTTTGTGTGATGAATGCGAGCATTTGTACTCCGGTCATGGATGTTTAATATCTATTTCTATATAAGTATACTTATATGTGTACAGTATATGTATTCTATCCGTTACCCTAGCATCCCATAACACAAGCCTTATAGTGCTTACTTTGGGGCTAGGTTAATTGGTGTGAGTGTTGGAAATATTTATTTATTTATTTATTTTATTTATTTTTCGGTACATTAGATGCCGATGATGCCCGAAAATACGATGCTGCTATTAAAGCATCTCAAAACAGTGAAACAGAGTTATTTCACCTTATAAAAGAAAATATTCACGTTGTAAAATCTACTATAAATGCATTCAATTCGACAGTATCTAGATTAAATAAAAATGAGTTTCGTTTAAATTCACAAATTAATAACCTTAATGAGATTTTATCTCAAGCTACCAAGAATAATAATCAACTTGTATATATATCTAAAGTTAATAATTTAGTTAATATCTTGGAAAGTTCATCATTGACTATCTCTAATTTCTTAAATTCTATTTTAAATGCTATTTTGTTTGCCAAGGCAAATATTCTTCACCCTGTGGTGATAACGCCCACTAATTTGCTAAAAGAACTCATATAAACAGTAACGTAATGAGTAAGAGATTAGGTTTTCCTGTTCCTCTAAATATTGAAACTATACATACTATTATAGACGTTTCTAAATTAACGTCATATTATTATAATAAGAAAATTGTATTTGTATTACAAATTCCTCTAACCTCTCCCGTTAAATATTCTATTTATAAATTAATTCCTTTGCCTACACCCTCAGATAACGACAACTTAAACGTTTTTGCTCTTATTCATCCTAGTAAGCCTTATCTTGCTATTTCCGACGATAGGCAAAGTTATGCACTTTTAGATGATATCAGGGATTGTTATAAAATAAATAACGACGAACTTACCTGCTTGTCGAACCGATTGTAAACCTTATAGTAGTAGACATAAAGATAAGTTTATTAGTTCTAGTTCTAGAAATTTGAATTTTTAATATTTTTACATTTTTATAATTATCTTACTAAACCTTGTTCATCTTACGAGATGAGATCTTAGTTCTAACCTTGATTATTATGACTTTGTTACTTAGAGTAATATTATTGGGAATCATTTTATTGTATTTTTATATGTTTTATAATGTACAACTGTTTACCAAATCCTGAAGCTGTCTCTTATCATTGATTATTTTTATAACTCCGCTTCATCCTAATTTTCGATAAAGCTCCGTTAAAAGGGGGGAGTTGTTATAACCCGACTTAGTAACCATAGAATGCTAATTCAACAAAACGTGTATAACTGTAATTTTCCATAGAATTAAACTGCAGAGTTGCATTTACGCAGCCCTCACATTATTCCATCAATTCCCACAGTACAGTTAGACTTTGGCAACGGGAAAGAACGGTCCATCCGGGTAGCTCAGGACTTGGTACTCGAGTTCGCGTGTGTAATTGTGTATATCAAAAATCATTAAATTCATATCCGGGAATTTTGGGTTTTTTTTAAAAAGACGTTCAGCGCCGGCCGCCTAACAGTACGTAAGATTGGAGATGGAGTATTCACATTTTCGACCTTGTTCCTAAGTGCATTGAATTCTAAAATATAAACGTTGGAATTGAGAGTTCATATTTTTGTAGAAGGCTTTATAGTTACACATTAATAAATGCAGTTTGAGGCAGGCCGTGTTATAATTTCCATCTTTCTATATTTGATTTCATTCTCAATTAAATGGACACTAATTATGATAAACGTTTCGAATGAATAGAATTAATTGCTACACAGTCTTTATTTTACTAAAAATATTTTAATCTAAGTTATTGTACAACATTCGACCAAGTTTTTTTAATCATATCTGCTGCCCTTTCACCTATCATTATGGCTGGAGCATTGGTATGTGCACCGATTGGTCTAGGAATAATACTAGAATCTACAACTCTCAATCCTTCTACTCCGTAAACTCTCAGTTCAGGATCTACAACAGCGTCTGGATCATTCGGAGGTCCCATTTTACATGTTGCAATTTGATGACGCAGTGATACCACCATTGTTCTAACTGCACAATCCCAATATGAATCTGTTCCTGGTGCATAAGTCACACATGTAGGATATTCTGGTAAATGCAGTTGGGGTGCATATCTTTTAAACGCCTCCGATTCGCCCAATTTTGTTACATACTTTATGCCTTCTTTCAGAGTAGCCATATCTTTAGGATCCGTCAAATAATTTCCATACATCTTAGGATGCGAGAAAGGATTAGTATCTCGCAATTCGAGGTAACCTTTTGATTTTGGTTTCAAAAGCACAGGTACAGCAGACCAGGTATCTAGACCGCTGAGTGAGCCAAAAGCCTGATAATATGTTTTGTCAGAAATTTTCCAGCTTTTTCTAAACGCACCTCCCGCATCTAATGTCATCGATGCCCCCATGCTTATTAATTCGATGTCAGGGACTAATTCAGGATCTTCTGAAATTGCTGTTTTTATGTAACCTATGCCTTCCACAGTCCCAGGAGTCGTGAGTAAACCGTCACCAAATTGCAGCCATTGCATTAGATTTGGTAACGTTGCCACTTTAGGTTCCAAAAGACTAGCGTTCGTAGAATTCAACTTAAATATGACGGCAGGAAACCCTATATGATCGTATAAAGTCTTTCCTACTTTCACATCAGCTATAACCGGGATACCGAGAGTTTCCAAATGTTCACGGGGACCAACTCCCGAGAGCATTAGCAACTGAGGTGATGCTATTGGTCCAGCTGAAAGAATAACTTCCCTTCGGCAACGAACGGTATATTTTTTACCATTTTTAATATATTCTACGGCATACGCTCTTTTGGTTTGGGGTTCAATTATCACTTTCGTAGCTCTTGCTTCAGGCAAGATATGAAGGTTTTTCCTTCGTTTATTAGGATGCAAAAAGGCCTTGGCCGCACTTAATCTGTGACCTTTATCAGTCATTGTCTGGGTGTAGCCAAATCCGAATTGGTCGGGAGCATTGTAATCCACCGTTGGATGTCCGAAGTCGCGACCGGCTTTGAGGAATGCTTCTATAAGGCCAGTCCTGAAAAAAAAACATAATATAAATTTAAATATATGAAATTCAAAATTATAAACTAAATATGCTTTTTATAGTAATATTTTTTTTAACTGCATTATACAACTCAGTTAAAAAAAAATCTGGCGTGGCAGATAAATTTATGTCTACAGTCATATTCACCTTGTCAGTCTGCACTAACATAAGCTACTTGTCTTATTACGAATAGACTATATACATAAGATCTAGAAGCTTAAATAAAATACCTCATGATAGGTTTTTCGATCTCATTTATATTCATACCGAAAATATCACATCTGACAAACAGCGCCATTTACTTTCGAATATTGAACTTTTTGTTATTATTTTAAAACTGTAACGTTTATCAGTCATTATACGGAACTTACTTGAATGGAACATTCTCAACAGTTAGTTCTCCATCGCGGCCCCGGTGAGGTGCATCTTTGTATTTTTTCAGACGAGATTTTTCAGATTTTTTATAATAACGAAGAACTTCGTCGTGAGACCTGTGGAAAACATCCTTACTAATATTATAAAGGCGAAAGTTTGTTTGGATGGATGTATGGATGGATGTTTGTTCCTCTTTCACGCAAAAACTACTAAACGGATTTTAATGAAACTTTACAGTAATGTAGCTTATAGATCAGAATAACACATAGGCTATAATTTATAAAGATATTGTGTGAATTGTCCAAAATATAACGATAAATGTCATTTAAGTTCAACAAATCGCAGGGTCAAACTTTAAAGGTAGCAGGCATACATTTGGGCACGCCATGTTTTTCTCACGGTCAGCTCTATGTGGCTTGCTCACGTGTTTCCAAAGCGAAAAATCTGCATGTTTATGCTGAAGGAAAAAAATCGCTAAATATAGTTTATAGAAGCATACTGCAGTAGCTACCTATAGGCCTATGATTAGGGGTTTGCAGTGCTTAATTACTGTATTTCTTATGTTGACAATATTGTTACGTTATTACAGTGCGAATGTAACATCTCAATATTGTCAGACTGTTATATTTTTCAAATACGACCCAAAAATTATGTATGTTTTAATTTTAATGTCATAATGTTAGTTCTTTTCACGCTAATATAAGCTACTCGAAATACTAATACTGCGCACACGAAGTCGCCGGCACCAGTTATTGATATTTAAAGACCTTGCTTTTATTCGAATTACACGCAGACGAAGTCGCGGGCAAAAGCTAGTAATTTATAAATGCTTGATTTTAAGATCATTTCTGTAATAAATATTTATTTCTCAGCGCAAATTAAATACAGAGACCTAATTATTTTCTGGATTGGCGATCGCTGGTAGCCGGGGTAGGTAAAAATGCTTATTACAAGTCACCAAATTTCTAGGTTTTCATCTTACTTTGACCAGTTACATATATTTAAAAATTCTATTAAATAATATTGTGGCTTAAAAAAAACATCGCAATCCAATTCATATTGAAGATATGATACATGAGGAATTAACAGAGTGATTTCCATGCAGCTGATTTCATCATACACTTGATGTAGTTTTTATTTTGTCACATGATTTTGTTTTGCCTTACCATCCGTAGTTTCCGTCTGCAGCGATTCTATCCCAGTCTTGAGGGCGGCCTCTGGTATAGAGCATAAAGTTGGTGACACTGGTGCCTCCTACAGCTTTGCCACGGGGCCAGAAGCAGCGTTGCTCTTCGCTGCCTGGAAATTAGTCAATTCAAAATATTTATAATAATAAAAGAAGAGAGAAACGTGACTTCTTTTGAATGCCAAAAATTTCAGTGAATATTCAAAAACAAAATCGTCTCACAGATTTTTTTTCCTACAAATAACTTTAGATATAATTCTGTTAAGGATTTAAGTATTTTGGCGTAATGTTAACATACACAGTGTTATGACTTTAATAATTTTAAAAGTTTCTCGTACCAAGTATTATTATCATCCAGGATTATATAAATTCCTCCTTAGATTAAGCATTTAAAGTCGCATCTGTAGGTACGATTGGCATTATGAAGTTGCCCTCCCACAACTGCAATGGGTCTGAGGTTAAATATCTCTAGATTAAAAGTTGTAAGATTCACAGACGATAGATTTCTTAAATTTCATTTACTCATAATCTGGGGCGCAAGTCCCAGACACATTTCATTTCATATCTTTTTACCAGACTGCGCCAGGCAAGAGCGTGGAGCGCGACGCGCAGACAGTGTTGAACAGTCTATAAATGTATATACGTTCCTTTGTGGCACACAAGAGACCAAATGAGTGGATCGATTTTGATGATTACTTAAGACATGATAGTAATCGAAATTCAGTATCGGGACAATAAATCGGGAATAAGGGGCCAGGTTGTGAGAAAGAAAAAATAAGTTAACGAAATACGTAGGTGGGTATCATTGTCTAAATAAACGAATATCATGTGTTAGGTTTATTACATATTTTTTTATTTAATATGACTGTTTAGGATCTACAACGATTTAAAGTTGTGTTCCAATGTATCGGAACAGCAACATAACACGTTGTAATATAATACGTTGATGGAGGAGCACAGGCTTGCATGGAGATGTGTTCTATGTAAGAGCTGAGAGCCGAAGACCGAGAACTCTAATACTCCTGTACGAACTGCTGCAGGTTCAATCATTGAACGCCGAGGAGCTGCTACCGACAGCGCCATGTACATGGATGTTTCTTTAGCGAACCAGAAAATCTCGATGGATTACCTCAATTATAAGACACATAACGGAAATGACCGAATTACAAACAGTTCTTATAGAGCTACGCTCTTTTAGAGTGGAAATACGTGAGGATATGCAAGCTAAGCGGCTAGCGATGTACGATGTACTGGAGTAGACGCAGGCATGGTGGGAGAACAAACTTTGATGAATTTTGGTGTTTATAAACGTAGATATAACCTAGGAGGAAAATAAAAAAATGGGCTACTCGCAGTATCTAATCCTATACGAAGTACTTACAATAAAACTGCAGCAAAAAAAACAAGTCCAGTAGTCTATAATTCTGTTAAGTAAGAAAGGAAGTTACTTTAACAGCAGAATTAAACTACTACTGGACTTGTTTAGTTTTTTATCAGATTTTATTTGAAGTAATATTTAAGCAGTCGGGTTTTTTGATTTTTCAAAATTACCTTTTTTCTTCGACCTATATAATAGTCTAAAGTCTTCCATATCTAGGTTAAAAAAAAGTTTTCTAGGAAAAAAGTTTGTAGGATGTCATTCATAAAGAAAAATCAAAATAATTATATGCACTGCTTAACCCGTTAAGCCAGTTCTCAACAACTTATTTCTTGATTCGTGTGTCATCTAGATGTAGTATGTAAATTTAATTTAATTGCTGCATATATGAATCATGAAGTTCATCACCTGTTTGTATTTGTGTAACGTTTGTGTTTGTAACCTGTGCAAAGCCGGAGCAAGTAACTATTCACTAGTTTTAATCAGTCAATCAAAAAATAATAGCTTAAAACACTGAAAATGAACACGCTTTCATTAGCTGCACCAAAAAGCCAAAAATAAACAAAATGTATTATCTGTTTCCTTCATTAGAGCCTTATAGTAAGCCATGTTTATAGTTTATTTTAATATATATATATATATATATATATATATATATATATATATATATATATTGTTTTATACTTTCATGGTCACTAACATTATAGTAATATTAGTTATTTACGGGATTGTTACCATGATCACGGAGTTACTGAAGTAATTGCGGGTAGGCTGTTATTGGCAGACATATCGGTGCAACAGCGCTTGCAACAGTGCCGAAATACCGGAATCTCGCTCAAAACAAGGTACATGGTAACATAAATAACTTATACGTATATATTAGTTGACACCGCGTACTTGGTACGGGTTAAAATAATTTGAAAGAATTGAAGGCCACATCGCTCGAGGATCTGACAACCGTTTGGTAAGAAAGGTCCTCGAGTGGCGACCACGTACCGGACGACGCAGCGTGGGGCGGCCCCCAACAAGGTGGACTGAAGACATCATCAAATGTTCTGGGAGCCGCTGGATGCGGATAGCGCAGGACCGCGCATTGTGGCGTTCTATGGGGGAGGCCTATATCCAGCAGTGGACTGAGAAAGGCTGCTGGATGTATGAATGGATGATGGACCTGAGTCTACCGTACCAAAAGGGACGAACGTCAAATGTTTAACAGAAAAGAAGATATAACAGTTTAAATGGGAAAATTAAATAGACGTTTTTACTATCTTCCTTGCAATTTTTCCATATTTTCTCACCTTTTAAACCTTCCCTAGATCTCCACGAACATTTTAAGACCAAGATAAGATAAATCCGTTCAGCCGTTCTCGAGTTATAGCGAGACTAATTGAAAGCAATTGATTTTTATATACAAAAGATATAACTGAAGAAAGAGTGGGGAGAGAAAGAGAGAAATTTATTTTTCACTTTTTAGTTTATTATATTCTTATAGTTCCCACGAAGCGGAAAATAAACAGAATATATTAAGACGAATATATATGTTTACTGGTAGGCATTCCAGGCTCCATCAGCCACCTTCCAGTCCATCGTCAGGTCCTGGTCATCAAGAGAAATGAAAAGAATATGTTCAGACAAATCTAATGAGCCTAAACTCGATTTGTTTACTAGTAGGCAGTGCAAGGTTCCAGTTCCAAGACCAGCTCGATGGTACCATGATATTGTATTGTCATCTAATCTACATTTAATTGCGAAGTTTCATGATGATACAAGAATTAGAAGTCCGTATAATTCAGATTCTTAGATTTTAATACATAATTACAAGTCGACCTAATAAGTGTGTTAAAAAAATGCTTTTAGACCAGGGTCGATAATTTTAAAAATGGTGAAAAATGAAAAAAAATATAGTAGGATGAAACCCATTAGAAAAGGTAGAGAATATAACAAAAATGAAAGGAAAAATAAATTACGGGCGATCTGAGGTCGGGAAGTTTTTTTCATTATTAATTGGAGTTTTTTTCATTATTAATTTGCAGTTTCTGAGAACATTTACCATAGTAGTGTATATTTTTTTTATACCATCAGAAAGTAGAGATTTCAACAAACAAAAAACACCCCAACTTTTTTAAAAAAGCAGATATTTTGACGTGAGAATTTTCGATTGAAAATAAGGGTGCTTTTTCGATATTAAGTCAAAATAAGGTGAAAAAATGAATATTTTAAATCAAAAAAATTACTGTATATTTGGGACATACAAAGGTAAGTTTTCACCAAATTTCGTGAAAAAATATTTTTTTTTGCAAAAAATAAAAATCAAAAACCAAAAACTCGGTAATTCGCATTTTTCACATAAATTTTGAGGTTATCTGAAAAAAGTGTCGATACAAAAGTTGTAGATCTTTTTATTACCTACAACTTTGCGATTTAATTTTTTTTCATAGGACTTGCAGTTTTACCGGAAATCGAGATTAACCATTTTTTACCCTTAAAAACTCACCCCCTCCCCCTTGATCGCCCGTAATTTATTATTCCTTTCATTTTTGTTATATTCTCTACCTTTTCTAATGGGTTTCATCCTACTATAATTTTTTTTGGTCACAAAAATTATCGACCCTGGTCTATTTTGACTCCAAGCCGAGAATAACAATAATAACTACAATGTATTATTCCAAGACTTATTCCGGTACAAATAAGGGCTGGTCATCACAATGTGAAGCATGCAGTAGCATAACAGTGGTGTCATGTATTGGCATGCAAATAGCAGGATGCCATTTAAAAGCTTTGGAATTTTTAACCGGCATTATTATATTTTTATAATGTATTGAAAATAGAGTTTAGCAGTTAAGGGCGTTATCCTGTTTCTTTTTCATGTACTTTAAGGTAAGGAAGTTATTTATTTTTATTTTAAGCAATAATAAATCTAAACAAAATTTGAAGATCCTTCTTTCGTTTTATTATATGATTTAATTTTATATTATTATGATATATTTTATTACATTATTTTTATATATTTCATATTATTATGATTTAACAAAAACAGTGGTTTTATAACTTCGCTGCTCGACCAACAATATTATTTTATATGATGCACAACTATGAAATTGTATTCCTATTTAGCGAAGAATCTTATTAAAGTTCCTAAATAGGTTATTAAAATTCCCACCATAATTAAAATAGGTTTCTAATCGGGATTAGGAGTATGAAGGAATCACATGAAACTAAAATTTACCAACTTTTCCTCGTAAAAGGTGATCATTAGATATTTCGGTAAGCGTCGTAGGCTTAGTGGGCCGATATTTGTTCATTACTGATCCAATAGAACCCATAGCTATTTCAATAACTTTACACATTTCATCTAAACTTAAGTGGAAGAGGAGTCCAGTTGCAGAGATACATATGAGTACCTAGTTAATGTGGCAGAAAATATTACTAGTATAAGAATTACGTCATTATAAATTGATTGTATATCAGGAAGTATGGAAGAAAAATTCATAATACGTTGACTCAAAATAAAATATAATACATATATAGACAGTAATAATAATTTATTATTTTATAATGTGAGCGAAGTTCTTGGGAAGGTTTCAGTCTCTTTTTAATCTCTTCTTGAATGAATTTAAAATGGTACTAGAAAAAAATCCACGCGGACCGACAGCGACCCCTGGGGGAGGCCGTACCGGACGGTGAGGGGGAAAGTTCGCTTCGGCGGCCCCCTCCACGTCCGATATGGAGCCCGCG